TGTGTGTGTGTGTGTGTGTGTGTGTGTGTGTGTGTTTTGGTCATCTCAATGCATATAAAATGCCTAGAAGAGTAAACATTCATTCTAATTTCTCATTAAGAGAACCATATGGAGGAAAACCCACATGTGGGAGAACAGTGAGGTAGACACTACATTGGTCCTGGAAGGAAGAAACAGCTGAGAAGTGGCAATGCTTACTATGTACAGAGCATCAATGTGCAGTTAATTGAGAGCTGACAGTATACTGGCAAATGGGAAAAGAGCAATTACTCAAGAATATACTTTCATCAAAGCCAAGAAACACAGTGGCAATTTGTTAAATGACCATATGATTTGGTTTGAATATGGGCATATTAGATAGTACTTTGTCACAATGATCTAATACTTAAGGTAAACTAATAATATTTCAAAATTTTAAAAATGCAAATAAAACCTCTTTTGAGAAATGAACAAATTACAAAATTCAAACACATAATTAATTTTAGTTGTTTATTCAATCAAAACCAAATTGTACCTGTATGCCACTGGTTTATCTTTATATTCATCTTAAGGCTTTTATAGACCTTCTTTTACAATATTAAACAATATAGATGTTGGATTCAGAAAAAAAAATATTTCTTGGTTTTGATTGTTCTAGTTATGAAAATCTGATGAAACAAAAATGTAATCTGGAATAGTTCTCTTGATTTTCTTGTAAACATCAAAATTTTGACTTATAGTGTCCTTTGTTATCTTGTGGTGTGAAACAAACCATTTCTAGCAAGTGGAGTCTTTAATATATTGTTTTGTTTACAAAGATAAACAAATTTTACCCAATTTTGTCTAGGCGCCTTTCAGAATTTTTAAAAACAAGCTTCCCAGAAAAATGCTGATTTTAAGAATGGGAATCTGTCATGATGACATAATCTCCGAAATAAGTGCATCACTTTCTAAGGATGTGTCTGAAGACAAATCTTTACAATCCATAGCCTGAAGAAATGAAAATAGGGTGTATAAAGCAATTTCATAATCAACAATGTCTTTCTTCATGGAGACTCTAATGACCTGAACACTGTACTAGATCCTGGGAAAACCAAAACTCATTAGAGAAAGTTCCTGCTTTTCTTCCTCTAGGTTTTAATCATCAAATGGGGAAATTAAAGAATAAAAAATGCTAACATCTATACAAGTGCTCTGGGAAGAGGGAGAGAAAGTATTGGTCCAGTTCCAGGGCTTAAGCCACATGTGCTAAAGATGGTGATGGGTCTTAGAGACGAAAAATAGGAGATTAAGAAGTGGGGAAGGAAATTCCAGGCCAGGGCATTGCCGTTACCAAAACTCAAATTTGAAAAGTGAAGTACCCAATAAGTCCTCCACTGCACACACAGGTCCTGACGTTGCAAGGGCATTGCCATTGCTAATTTCCCGTCTGCAATGTTTGTTCTCTATAAAGTCAAACATTTTTTTTCTGTCATTTGAAGCAGTTTTCTGATCAAATGTCATGTCTACCTCTATCTCCTAAAGCTGCTTTGTTTATAAGAGTAATTATTATTATGTGCTCTATTACCTGGTAAAGTTTGCATGAAGGCATGACCTAAGTTTGGATGTAAAGTTCCTACTGTAGGGAATGGATCCCCGTGAGTACTTGCTGGCAAGTGAAAGAATGGATCCGAAAGTGCTGATAACAAGTGAGATGAACTTTGCTTCTGTGACTATTTCAAAACATAAATGCTCACAGCAGCAGACAGAAGACCTGTGAATCCTAAACTTGAGCGGCAGAAGCATGGACCAGGAAGGTGAATAATTCTCGCCACATTCCATTCTGGACCTAAGACCACTCCATCTATTTCTTAAAGCTTTTACTTATATATTTGTGGGAATAAGAATTAATCTCACATGTTAAAACTTAACTCTTAAATGAATCTTTAATAAACTCTTAAATTAATCTCACATGTTAAAATTAACTCTTAAATTCATTAATCTCACATGTTAAAATTTAACTCTTAACCCCAAACTAAAACTAATGTTATACATGTAAATCTTTTTCAAGGCAGTTACGTCAAAAATTGTTCTTGCGATGTATCCCTGATTATACCCATCATAAAATACTCTGAACTGGAAGCCCTCCAGCCATAGAACGTTTCATTTTTGTCAAGCTTTCTCAATTGTGTAAAAAAATAAAAATACAAATCTCACTATAAAAAAGTAAATTACATTCATAAATGTTCATAACTTGGTGAAATTCCACTTGAAAAATCTCTAGAAATAAGTTTCTTTTCCAATGTAATATTATGTAATTTGTATTTAAAAAGCCAACATGTTTTATGTATGCTGAGCTTATTGGGGGGGGGGAGAATATTTGCATTATCTTGACAGGAAAAGTGACCTAATTATTACAAACAGTGTTCTAATTATTAATGGCACACGTTATACATTTTATGTTTGAAGCTATTTTTTTTTCCAAAATTATAAAAGGCAACTATTTTCTTTGATTATAGGGTAAGTTACTCTTTCAGGTCTTTTTAAGTTTATGACTAAGTATTTTATGTAACTGGATTCAATTAAAAATGAAACGTTTTCCCCCTAAATTCCATTTCAGATATTTTAACTGACTTTTGTATGTTGATTTTGTATCTTGCAAATCTATGAAATGTGTTTATTAGTTCTGACAATGTGTGTGTATGTGTGTGCATGCGTGCATGGGTGTAGTCTTTAGAGAAAAATCAACAGAATGCAAAGGCAATCTAGAAAAAAAGGAGAAAGATTACTAAAGCATAGCTGAAAGGGTAAAAGAAATAAGAATATTTTATAATTCAATAGCAGAAAAAATTAAAGAACTAATTT